CCCGCGTCTCCCCGGCAGCTGAGCCACCTGGAGATCAAGCCGGCCATCCGGAACCAGATCATCCGCGAGCTGCAGGTGCTGCACGAGTGCAACTCCCCGTACATCGTGGGCTTCTACGGGGCCTTCTACAGCGACGGCGAGATCAGCATCTGCATGGAGCACATGGTGCGTCCCCCGCCCGCCAGGGCCGCGCCCCCGGGGCGAGCGGTATGCCTGGGCTCTGCAAACTGCCGGTCCCTCCCTGAATGTACGCCACCTAGACCCCTCACGCGTGTGTGTGCGTGTGTGTGTGCCTCACTGCCGGGGGCACGTGTGCTCAACAGAAAGAAAGAGACACGAACTGCAGGTCTTGGGGGTCCTCTCCCGTAACCTGGAGGCTGCAGGGCCAGCTCTGAGGCCAGATGCCTTTTTTTTTTTTTAATAATAATTATTTAATTGTATGTAATTCACTAGAGGTAGGGGGAATGAGAAAGCAGGCCGCCAGGTCCGGGACTCGAACTGTTGTCGGCCATGTGGGAGTCCAGCACCTTGACCACCGCGCCGCCTGCCGGCCCCCGTGCCTTGTTTGTTTCCATGTTTTGCTTTGTTAGGTTTTTGCCGTCGGGTGTGTGCACTCACAGAAGAGGGACAGTGAGGAGCCCACCTCCCGGGGCATGCACACGTGTGCACCTGGCGTGGTTTTCAAATGGCTGAGTCTGGGACTCGGACTGCGGTTGGCCACGTGGGAGCCTAACGTCTCACCACCGTGCCGTCCGCCGGTCCTCATGCCTGGGTGCCAGCACGGCCCCTCCCAGCTTCGCCTTCGCACCCGACACTGCAGGCCGTCCCGTCCGCACAGAGGCCCGCTTCACCTTTCTGCCCGCCGTCTAGTACCCCAGCGTGCCCGTGGGCCGTGCAGGATCCCCACGCTGGTGGGCACCTGGCACCTTCCGTCCCCTGCCCCGAGTGTCTTCACACAGGAACACGGCGGGGGGGGCTCGGAGGGGGTGCTGGGCTCGAAGGCGAACGGCTGGTATTGAAGATCGGTGTCTATTTCCAACCACCCTCTCGAGAAAGTGGTCGTCCAGGCCACGTAGGAGAAGGGGGCCGTGCCTCCGCCAGCTCCAAGCCCTGGGCCCCGTCTCTTTGCAAACAGCGGGCCCCCTTGTGGAGGCACTCTGGGCGTTCCGAAAGCAGAAGTGGTCAGGCCGGGCGGGAGGAAACGGCGCCCACCCGCACCGGCCAGCTCGCAGGTAGCCCACTGGCCCACTGCTGTCATCTTGCTCAACCAGGCGTGGCGGGGCTCCGGCACGGGGCCTCACACACCCCGCCGGCCCCCGCGTTTCCTGACCAAGGCAGGAAGTGAGCCTGGCCCCGGCCCCACCAGGCCAGCGTGTGCTCTCGGGCCGAGCACAGCCCTGGGGCCCAGGCCTACCTGGGAGGGACCTGACGCCCGGATGAGAGAGCCACCGCACCCACCGGGAGCTCGCCCTCTGCCCTGATGGCCCGGCAGTCAGGGCTCCAGGCCTTCCACTTCCCAGGCAGAGGCCGGGGCATCCCA